GTGTGGTTTTTTAATAGTTTAATTAAGTTTACAGTTTGTCCAATATAAACATGATCACAGTCATTACAATTTATTTTGTAGATCCCTGAAGAGTCGAATTAGTTATAATCTTCTATATGTGGATGCGGTATATTACTCAAAGTGTTCTGGGTCCTGAAGGCTATTGATACTCCATTTTTCTTGAATTTGTTAGCGATCCTTCGTGTCCTAGTTCCCGTGTAGCTAAATGTCGCATATCTGGTGTTTTCTCCTTTGATTTCTTCCAACGTTGTCCTATTTTGACTTTTTTCTGGTTATCTATTTTCCGTCTCGTTTTTCTTTCGATGTCTTCTATTGTTTGAAGTTTATATCCGTTAATGCTATCCTCTTTATGGTATTCAATTCCTCTTTTCTATTGGTCTCGCTGAGTGGGATCTTGTATGCTCGGTACAACATGGATCTGAAGGCTGCAGTCTTGTGGAAATTGTTCGATGAATAGAGTTGCCCATAGTGCAACCGATAAGCTCAATATATATGTAGGCCCTATATTGTATGTAAACTAGTTCACTTATGAGGGCTACTAAGTAATTAATAAATACTAGTGGATTGTAGGGACATAAGTCCCTAAAAAGCTCAATAATATAAAACAAATTATTCTAATATTTAAACAAACTAAGAATATCTTTGTCTAAGAACTAAGAATATTATCGCCATATCTTTTGTGTAAAAACAGTTTGATGTTTTTCTTTGTTGATGTTATTTTCAATAAATCATTAGAATCACTACATAGGTTTAACTCTGCTAAAGACAGCAAACATATATAATAGTTTGTGAATAAATACCTGTTTATTAAGGGAGCTTTGGTCTTGTGGTTAATGGTGATAAAAAAGACTTCCCTGATTAGAATTTTGGAAATTGTCTTCGTCAAATATGAAAAGGCAAATAAAGGTGTGTTGAGGTAAGCTTAGTTCTAGGCCAAACCCGCTAAATTAGCATCCCTACCTAGTTAATATTTCTAAGTTTATACTCCTTTTGTTAAGGTTTAACAACATTAGTGTAAAGTAAAGGCATCCCATTGACCAAACTTCACGTTAGATTTTTTCTGACCAACATTAAAAAACTACAATTAGTGTAAGTTTATGTGGTGGTATTCCTCTTAAAGGTGCGATATATTCATATTGACGTTACATATTCTATCAAATTAGGTCTAATCATCGGCTGATTCTCAACTCTTTTGCAAGCAACAGACAGTGCCTGTTTAAAATCTCTAAACAATATTATTTTCCTCCCATTGGAACTTGTCATAGTACTTACTTAATAAATAAATATATAGTTCCTGTACGGACCTATTCCATCTTTATTCCTAGGTTATTTTCTAAGAGTAGCCGTTGAGGTTATTCCTCTTTATACAAAATAGTGATTAAACACTACAATAAATCTCAAATTTAAAATAATGAAAGTGTAGTATAAATCTAGAACATATTTTTTCAAATAAAAACAAAGCAGAACTTTTTTATTTAATATTGAATCGTTAATTATTTAGTCAATTTGGTTATTTCATGCTATACATTAAAAATACACAAATTTGAAAAGTTTCACAGTAAAATAATTTATTTCCACATTCTATAACGTAACTAAAAAGTCTTAGTTATTATAGGTAACTTTATACCTGGTTTTATATGGTACATTGCAGAATTGACTGGGAAATAAGTAATCCAAATGTTAACATTGCGTACTGGCTTGATAAATCACGATCAGCTGTATTGAAGTAAACAAAAATCAGTAATAAATGGCTTCTAATGCTATTCTTATGGAGAACATTTTACATTATATTTTGTTTTCTGGTAACTTTATGGGAATTCCGCTATTTTCCCTGAGTCCCTGGGGTCAAGACCTTTAATTTAAGACCCCTCCCACTTTTCTGCGACTTAACAGACGTCCACAATTTTCTGGTAAAAATGTTGTCTTACAGAATTATATATAAGGACTCGCCTTGTGCTCGCTGGGGGCTCCGCCCCGAGGCCCCCATTTAATAGTAGCCGTGATGAGAAATTGTCACGGGGGACAGGATGTTGTCGTTCGCATGGCTCAATCAAATCCTGGTTGAAGTTTGTTCGCTACGCTCACTCACCTTTAGGTTGGAGCTCGTTCGCTGCGCTCACTTGCCTTCAGGTTAGCTCGTTCGCTACGCTCACTCACCTTTAGCTTGGAGCTCGTTCGCTGCGCTCACTTGCCTTCAGGTTAGCTCGTTCGCTGCGCTCACTTGGCTTCAGTTTAGCTCGTTCGATACGCTCACTCACCTTTAGGTTGAAGCTCGTTCGCTGGGCTCATTTGCCTTCAGGTTAGCTCGTTCGCTACGCTCACTCACCTTTTGGTTGCAAATTAGCTATTGTCATAAATTTAAAAAAATAATAGTGCTGCACCCTGTTGCTAATGGTAAAATTTTATTAATGGGGATGAAAGAGCGGGGGTCTGGAATGGGATTGGTCTAAATATCCATAATTCACCTACTGGCGCGCCAGTGAATCAGCGTACGCAATAGCATTAAATTATTGCAGTCTTGACAGCGGCAAAACAGCGGTTGTGATGATGCTGTGTTACCCCCAGAGTGGACGTAGTTCACTGAAAAACTCACAGATAGCAGCACTGCCTGGATCCGTAGCCAGTGTCTTTATAATGTGGTTCGAAGAGAAAAAATGCCCGAAAACAGGACAAAAAGCGTTGCCAGACAGGATTTTATGGGATATTTTACTACCAACCTAAACCCAACCTACACCAAATTTAAGTATAGGACCAGCACTACATGCTGACAGACATAGTTTAGTTGATCTCCAATAAATTCGGAGGTCACATTAGACCAACTTGTATAACGCTGCACCAAGATTCCGACCAGAGTCGAACGCACGCTGTGCCAGTACGGCAAGACTCCGATCGGAATCGTCAGCTGCGAACGTGTTAATAACATAACATACAACCTAACAGCATCAGCTATTGAAATAAAATGGAATTAATTACCACCCCCCGCCACAGCAAACCTGCCGACTAAGCGAATTTCCATTTGTCTGAATTGATTTTCAATTAAATCTGTTTAAATAACATTAGGTTTAACGAGTACCTAGGTTTGCTGCTACAAGGAAACTAATAAAATGTATTTTTATAAAAATATTAATAGCTTAGTATAAAATAAATAAATTTGCCTAGTTTGATCAAAATATATCCACAAACAAGCAAACTACAACATTTTACAATATTCTCCATAAGAATAACATAGGAATTTAAAATTTACTATCTTTTGAATCTCCTCTGTTATCAATAACCGTACAAAAACACTTTGATATAGGCCTACTAAATTATTTGTTTTTAAGCTCTTTTAAAAGGTTAGAGAGAAATTGGGAAATTTTGTGTTTTGAGGGTTAAAAATGAGAAAAAACATTTCTACCCCATAAAACCGTGTAAAACGTAAATCGTCTGTGAAAAACTGCAAAATATATGACAACAGATATTGAACGAGATTGCAACTGATGTTTATGCACTCTTGCCTAGATTACAACTACTTGTTCTGCATCTGGGAGGAAGTAATAAAACAGCTGATAAAACAGGGACAACACAATGGTTTTACGCGTAAAAAATTACACGTAAAACCCCGTTCTCATAGTTCGATCATGCTGGTTCGCGAACTCATATAAGTTTACACTTTTTAATTTAAAAAATAATGTAAAAATATTTTTGGAAAAATACTACAGAAATATGATAAAACTCTTACAAAATAGAGCTGATACAAAATGTGTTCACTAAGGAAACGTCATCCCCCCTATTAAGTCAGCTGTTTTGAAGACTTAAACGATTCTTTTTATAAGTTTGGCAAGATGTATTTGCAAATAATTATGCTTTTGTAACAATAACCAGAGGTGTGCGGATATCTGAAAAATCGGGTCGGATTCGGTTCAGTTTGGATATCCGTATCCGAACCGAGCCCAAATTCGATATCCGACCCTATTCGTTAAATATCCAAATTTTTTAAGTTTTGGACTTATATGACTACTATAAGGCCACTGAGACATTGCCTTGCCATATAAATTCTTTGTATCAATATACAAACACTGAGACATAGCCTTGCCATATAAATTCTTTGCATCAAGATACAAACACTGAGCCATGGCCTTTCCATATAAATTATTTGTATCAAGATACAAACACTGAGACTTGGCCTTGCCATATAAATTATTTGTATCAAGATACAAACACTGAGACTTGGCCTTGCCATATAAATTCTTTGCATCAAGATACAAACACTGAGCCATGGCCTTTCCATATAAATTCTTTGCATCAAGATACAAACACTGAGCCATGGCCTTTCCATATAAATTATTTGTATTAAGATACAAACACTGAGACTTGGCCTTGCCATATAAATTGTTTGTATCAAGATACAAATACGGAGACATGGCCTTGCCAAATATATTATTTGTATCAAGATACAAACAATGAGACATGGCCTAACTATATAAATTATTTGCATCAAGATACAAACACTGAGACATGGCCTTGCCATATAAATTATTTGCATCAAGATACCAACACTGAGACATGGCCTTTCCATATAAATGGGTTGCATCAAGATATAAGGTATATACTGAGACATGGCCTTGCCATATAAATGGTTTGCATCAAGATATAAGGTACGGTATTCTTTTTTGTGAAGTTGAGTGAGCTGTTAATTTGAACTTCAGTTTTTATAACTGAACCAAGATTAATGACTTACAATATCACATTAGTGAATGGTTTAAAATTCATATTGTAGTTTATGTATATAAAACTGAAAATTTTAACTTCAACCTTAATATTTATTTATTGTACTTGTACTTGAACGTCAAACTATCCGAATCCGAACCTCTAATTATCCAATCCGATCCGAACCGAGCCTTAACTATCCGACCCGAATCCGATCCGAACTGAAATTTCACTATCCGCACACCTCTAAATGACACAAGTACAACTTCTGTTTATTTGATATGTTTCAGTGCATCCACATGGTAGAGAGAATAGAGGACGTGCACATGGCTAAGGAAGAGTATTACTTGCTCAAAGCGCTCGTGCTGGCCAACACTGACGTTAGGCTAGATGAAGTAGTCGCACCCAAGATGTTCCGGGAGTCCATCCTCACCGCTCTCACCGAGTGTGTCGCCATAATCAGGTAAGTTACTATCATAAAGTACAGCTATTTAATTTTACACTATAGTAGTGTAATAGAGGGTAGGCTAGGCAAGCTAGGTTGACGACCTATGGTCAAGCCATGCTAGCTAGGAAGCATGCTGGAGGTGTTTATGTAAACATTGAGGGCTTTTCGCTCAGTAGCTATCAAGCTCAATAAATAGGCCACGTGAGGTAGGGAGAGGGGTCAGTCGGCCAGGGCAGGGTGCCCAGAATGTGTTGGGTGGGTACTGGTAACTCTAGTCTATCTTAGGGTTAGGCCCTTTAGCCGGGAGATTGTAAGGGAAGTTCAATTTAAAAAGGAATTCAGAGTTAAAGAGGGAGTTTTTTGATCCGTGGATTATAATAAGGAAATTTGAAGGAGTGGAATAATAAGGGGGGTTTGGTTCAGAGCATTTGTTTGGTAATACCATAAGTGAAAGTAGATTAGGGAATATATATACCAACCACCGGAAGAACCAGGAAAAAACCTTGAATTTGAAGGGACCTTTAAAACCCAGGAAAAGCCGGGATTTTTGGAGCAATTCCAGTATTTTAGCCCTGGTAGAGGATTGCGCGAGAAGTTTTCATGATTTTGCCGCAATTGCGGACAATGACGTTTCTGCAGTCGCGAGATACGACGATGACGTCTACTCCATTATATACATTTCAAAGAGCAACTACCTACTATCTTTCTACATAGTCACCAAACAAATTAAAAGGACTTATTATAGCGGTGAACGAGCTTTGAAACTCCTTTGTCATAGGATTCCGCCATCTGCGATCTCAGCCACTTGATGACATGGAACTGGAGCTCCTCGTTGTCACCAAAGTGCTGTGCTTCTCAGTATGTCTTCATTTTGAGAAACAAGTGACATACACTCGGAGCATGGTTTGGACTGTAGGGTGGATGAGAGAAAATCTCCCATTTAAAGGAAGGGGATATTATGCAAGATTTGCTGTATGAGTCGTGCATTGCCATTGAAAAACATAATGGTTTATATCAAAATTCCTCTGTGTTTGTTTTGAATTACTCTCCTAAGGTCGAGGAAAAGATGAAGTGTACTTGACAGTATACTTTGAGTTTATTGCAGCACCTCATTCAAGATAGTTGCCTCAAGGCCGGCTGCACACTCATGTAGCATTTCACCTGAAGCAAGTGGTGTGAGGCAAAATGTTTTGCTGGGTACGAGCGCTCCATGTATTTCAATGGGAGCCCGCACACTCATCAAGCTAACTTTGCAAACCGCCTCGCAACGCCTAAATAAACATTTGAGCAGCAGCTCAACGCCTGGATCCAGTACAGCTCGATGTTTGATGCTTAAAGGAGCAAAACATTCTGCGCATGCACCAAATCCTTTTTAACCTATTATTACAGCTTTTTTTTTCTCTCATGGGGCTGGGGCATTCTTACCCCTTGCTACCTCGACCTACAAGATCTTTTGTAGCACCCTTTTTTTTGTTTAGTCACCCAACCGAAGTTTTCTTGCGAAGCCAATCAGTTGGTGCACACCCATTTCTCTTATTTCTATTTCAGTAGGCATCGAGAATGCCTTTCCTAGGTGTTTCAACCTTTTATGGGCTATCGATGGACATTCCAGCCATATGTGCTCAGCTGATTCTGTTTCGTAGAGACAGAATCTGCACTGGTCTGTCTGTCTAAGTCCTATTGTCTTGAGGTACTTCCTTACATAGCCATGCCCTGTAAGTAGACCTATCAGGAGGCTTATTTCTTCTTTTTGGAGGTCGAAGATGTTTCTCCATTCCTTACTAAGAGGATTGATTAGCATCTTTGATTGTCTCAGGCCTGGGGTATTTTCCCAAACCTTTTCTTGTTGTCCCTTTGCCCAGGCTAAGATTTTTGATTGGCCCTTGCTCACTGGGACTCCGCAGCATGGTTCAGGCCCAATGAGTTCGGATTTTGCCCCCTCGCCCGCCAGGACGTCAGCCCTTTCGTTGCCTTCGTGCCCAGCGTGACCTGGGATCCATGCAAGTTGGATTCTGTTGTGTTCGCTCAGGGCCTTGAGGGTGTTCCTGCAGCTCTGCACAACTTAAGATTCCACCACGCAGGCGTCGATTGCTTTGAGAGCAGCTGAATGAACAGGGGTTTATAGTGTTCCTGTAGGGGTTCATAAGATATAATTCTAACCAACTTCTTTTGTAAGACTAAAATTTCCTCTATCCTACTGCAATTGCCATAAAAGATAATATAGTATCTAAAAATGGATTGGAAATAAGCAAAGTAGGCTGTTTTAATATAATTTTGATCTATACAATGTATTAGTTTAGTCATAAGACGTATTACCCTTGAAAGCCTAGAACTTATGTAGCCTAATCGATATGAGGTCCCCAAGAAAGAGTCTTATCCAGATAAAAACCAAGAAATTTAACATTGTCCACATAGACATCCAACATATTTAATTCACACGGTCTAAGGCCAAAAACTGTTTTTTTTAGTTTTATCTTTATTTAAGAGGAATCCATTAGATTCAAACTAGATAGAGGCTTCATTAATTTAAATTTGAGCTAACTCTTGAAGTTGTTTAAGATCGGGATTAATATTTAAAAAGGTTGTGTCATCTGCATACAAATAAGTTTTACTATTTATACATTCTGGGAGGTCGTTCATTAATGCAAATTAAAAATAACAGAGGACCTAGAACAGACCCCTGAGGCACGCCATATGTTAATATTAATTCTTGGGACCATTCTCCCAATGTTGACTTTTTTTTCTATTGTTTAAGTATGACTTGGAAAAAAAAGTGGAGTTCTGTTGAAACTGTAAAACTTAATTTCATCATTAGGTCGTCATGGTCCACACAATCAAAAGCCTTAGTAAGGTTGCAGAAGGTAACCTGAGCAAGTGACTTCCTCCCAAAGACCATTAGTTCCTCATTAATCAATTTGTTCCGTTGAGGGGCATTGGGTCGAGTCATCTTGGGTTGCACTTAAGGAGAGAGACGGTTCTTGTGGGCTTGGTTGTTGGTGTGACTTTATGCTTTCTTTCAATCTCTGGAGGAATTCAGGGTGGGAGAGGCCGCCCCTCAAAACACTGTGTGATGTTTGATCATAAGAGATGACAAAGACTTTAGAATTTGTTGCTTGCTGGAACTCAACAGTTTTCTTTGAGAAAAGGTCAATTTCTACCTTATCTCTCACACAGCCCATGGGGGAACAGGGAAGTGTCTTTAGTCCTCTTTGTTTAAAATCCTTTGTGAGTTGATTGACAGAAGTACTGTAATCTTCAGGAGTTTAGATTTCCCCAGTAATTAATTAGCCTTAGTGACAAGGCTATAGATCACTGCTCCATTTGGAATTTTTTGTGCAGCAAGTTTCCTATCTGCGTAGTTTGAGTAATCAAGTCTACAAAACTTTTGCCTGAATAATACGGTCAAACCAGCAGACATATGTCTTGGATGGTCAAAGTCTGACGAGATGGTGTGCGCAAGTCCTGCAGACGAGTCCTTTTTATAAAACTCCATGATCTTTTTCATGTCTCCATCCACTGCATTTATATCCTCTTGGTGAAGGGATAGTTTGTGAGGTTTCACACTATCTTGCCTGGCAACCTGAAAACTTTTTCTCTCAACCAGCATATTGGCAATCATAGAGGCAATTTTATTCATTCCCTTTTCTGTTTGGATGCAGGCCTCGTTGGTTTAAAAAGTGTCTGGGCAAGAGATGGAGTTAAAGGATGTTTACATTAGGGTAGTTTGCTGCCAATTTTTACAAATTAGAGTTAAACCTCAATAGGTCATGCCTGGGTGTGTCATACCTCATAGGGAGAGAAGCCAGTAAAAGGTTAGTATGTTGACAGCGAGCAATTAACTGTTCAACATAATCAAGAAAATGATCAGTTTCAGAAGACTCCATATCATTTGTACCTGCCAAAACTAGAATTTGGTCACTTTTGTTCAATCTGCTACCAATGGTTTTAAACTCTTTGTTTACAATGTTGAATGTAGCGCCCGGTATGAAGATAGGACTTACATTTGTAGAGGCTCTTTGCTGTATCATGCTTCCAATATATCTTCCATGGCTATCAGCAAAAATGGTGAGTTTGGCTTTTTCTGGCTGGCTCATTAGAGCCTTGGAATCCACAAGGAGTTGATTAGATCAGCTTGCCTCTTGTCTTGTCATTCAAATTGGTAAAGTGCCTTGAAGATTTGCAGTCAAGGGAGGAAAACAGTGAATGCAATTTTTGTTTGTTTTACCAGTTAATTCTTTTGTAATTTTTTCATAGTCATTTTGAAGAATTTCCAAGGAAGTTTAAAGGCTTTTATTTTCTAGTTTAAATTTGGTAAGTTTGTGTTTAATGATCTGCGTATGGAAATCTTGAGGAACTTTTAACAGTTTCTCTTTTTCAGCAATCTCTTCTTGTAGTTGAAGGATTATTTGTTCTTTTTCCATTAAAGTTTTTTCCAAATCTATGCATCTATTAGTAAGAGCACTGAGTTGAAAGCCAGAACCAATATCTTCAGTAAATGAAATGAAATGAAATGAAAAATTCTTTATTTTACCAGGCAAAGTTAGGGCCACATGGCCCTCTCTTACACTTAACCTGACAAACTTAAATATAAATAAATAAAAATACAATGACATTTCTTAATCTAATATAAAAATACATATTTATATTTACATATTTATTTACATATTTAGTTCAGTAGTGCTAGTTTCAGAATTTTTTTTGTGATGGAATTTGATTTAGGGGTTACTTTCGGTTGATTTATAAAAGAGACATTTGTTTTCAACCTGCTCTATTTCAAATTTAACCTTGGGAAAGGTTTTATTAACAAAATTCTGGACATCATTTGAACTGGTCCCTTTAGCTACTCTCCCCAAATGAAACCAAGCCTTTTTTGTCCCACACAACCCTAGATTAGAGCCATTTTCCGAAGTAGCAGTGCCCACAATTGTCAGATTTTTTTTGTTATTTCTAGGCCTATTCTTATGTTTGGCATCTTGGGAACCTGACTTACTACTAGGACTATAACTTAGACTTAC